TTCCTAATGTGCATCTCTTGCAAATATTCTGTTAGGGAAAAAAAGGAAGAATCACATACATTTTAAAGTGAATGCAATAAATAAAAGTTTAACAGGTCAAACTAAGTCTGACCAGTAAAACTTCAGAACCTTCTATCTCCTGCTACCACTTCTATTCTCCCTGTGTAGAAGGATATCACACAATTTAAAACAACTTATAATGAGAAATGCTTTATAAAGAAACTTTCTTAAAACAATGTCTATGAGAGAGCATCAAAATGTTATGGTCCAGAATCACCTCAAATATAATAACTTTACAGTCTGCTGTTCCCTGGGCTTAGCACTTAGGACTAACTGAAAGCCAGACCAACTTCTGGAAAATGGCAGCTGTGTCTGAAAATCCAATAAAGTTATAAATAAAACATAAAATGACAATAGCAGAAAGTCAACAGTAAACTTTCCTGAAGGAAACACTTGAACAAAGTCAAGAATATTCTTGTCACCATTACTGGCTGAAATCACACAGCAAGACTCTCTGATTTACACTAAATAGGACTGAATATTGGTGGAGGTTTTGGGGGTTTTTTGCTTTATTTTGTGGGGAGTAGTAACAATTGGCTTCTACTATGTTGAAACTTTGAGAAAAACAGGAACACTTCTGGAATAAGCCTTAAACACCTAACCTTGGAGCAGCACAGGGAAACTTGACTTTGCCATCGATACTTAAGAGATGCACTCAATGGGTCACAAAAATGTTACATCTTCAAGACTACCATCCCAACACTACTGTACACTTTGAAATTACAGAACAAACAAGCATGTGTAAAAGATCTTCTGAGGTAAAGCCACCCAAGAAAATGGGGGGAAAACAAGGTATAGCATCCAAAACATATATATCAATAACGTATATTTAAATATCAAACATTAAGGCACACAGGAGAAGACACAAAATAAGCTCCTAAAGCATCAAATGGCATTTGAGCTGGAAAAGATTTTAAAATTATGTTGCTCAAGAAAATATGATAAACTGCAGTTTAAAAAAATATCCCCAATTGTAAAGATGCACATTAATAAAGTATTAAAAAAACCACTCAAGCGAGTAATATGAAGGAAAGGACTGGGACTACCAAGGTAAAAGCAGAGGATGTTTAGCACAGGATGGAACTCTGTGTTGTTCAAGAGAAGATACCATCACTAACAGCCTGCATGAAAGAAACCAAAGCAACTTGGAGGAAATAGCACCAAAGGAAAGTGATTACAAGCAGTTCACCACCTCACCTCAAAAACAGTTGGGCAGGATGGGTGCACTGCCAAGCAACATGTTCTTCCCCTTTCCATGTGGAAATAATCCAGGATATGCAATTCCTACTGCAGACAACATTCTAATACATCACAGAACTTGAAGAACATCAAAGAAAGGGTTTCTCTGTTCTGCCTGACCAAAGGTGCAGGAACAAGACCTTCACTGGACAAAAGGTGACCAAGCCTTGCCCCCTGGGCTGCTGAGCAATTCCACTCATTGTTTGCTCTTCAAGAACAGCACAATTACCATCCCCTCACACTGACTATTAAACCACTGTAGCAGCAAAGCCTGTCCCATCTGGCACAAACATTTTCAGCTGGACTACCAGAGAGGCATCCTGATATACCACATCAGAAATAATGATCCATCACAAGAAGAAGAGAAATTTGGCTGCAACTCAAGAGTTTACTTAATACATGTTAAAATTCCTAAATATACTCTCTTAGCACTACAAGCTTTGAACTTCTTATGCTAAGGACAAGGCAGCTAATGGAAAAACTCTATTAAAGCACACAAATATTCAAAAGAAACCCAACAGTTCACCTTTTTGCTGCCCAAACTTTAAATACTGTAGTATCATACAAAACAGAATATTGGCAATATTCCACAACCCTGCTGCAACTAGAAGAAGACTACTGTGAATCCCTCCTAAGATTTCAATACCTATGAGGAAAGAGTAAACAGGTGAGATACAAAGAAAAAAGCATAGAGACATTGCCTTTTGGCTTTGTTTTAATCTTTAGCCAAACCCTCCACTGCCCCTATTATAATAAGCATCACACCACCCTGCCTTCCACAATTTGTAGCCAACCACAGGCAGCCATAGAGGGCAAGGTGTGGATACCCTTCAGAATGGCAGTAATCTGTAGGATTCAACTTTATTGTAGGTGTTATCCACCATTACTAAATAACTATGGATACAATGGCATAAAGATTGCAAGTTATTACCCTTTGAACTTAATTATCTTTCTTTTCCTTCAGAATTCTTTCCCAAAAGTCCCAATACCACAACCTTTCCATAAACATGTAATTCCAAATTCTTACTAGACTTATTGTAAAAAAAGTTTAATGAAAAAAAAATGCCTTATTTTATTTTTATTTATGACTATTTCTGCTAGTAGTCTCACTTCTACACTGAATATTTGGGAGTCACAGCTTCATTTTGAGGGCAACTAAATTAAAAATCCCATAAGGAATGAGTTCACTTGTGACAGAACTGCAAATGATGTGCATCATTCAGTTTTAAGCAAATGACATTATCAGTGCATTAGTGACTAATTATGACAGGAAAACCACCTGTACTCAGAGTTCCTGTTAGATTACAATTTAAAAGTTTTACAATAGAATACCCTAGAAGTAAATGAGATATTTGCTATTTTCTGAAATTAATTTGAAGCCAAAGAAGATCTCAAATATCTCTAGGTCCTCTCCTAAGAAATCCAGATGTTAATTAATAATTCTATGTAACTTCCATGTGATGTACCACTTCCTTTCACAAGTCAATCTCATATTTAAAATACTTTCCAACACCTCATTTTTATTTCCAATGCTACCCTACACTTAGTTAACTTAATATTCTTAACCTATGTATTTCTTTAAATATACTTAGAAAGCGGAAATACAAAATTAACTTCGTGTGACTACACCAAATATAAAGTTAAGAAAGTTAAGGCAGATAAACATACCCTAGAATGGAGTGTGACAGTGAGTTAGGCAGATAGAATAGGACCACATCACAAAGTAATCTTTGAACTGGAACAATTGCTGCAGTCCAGTCAATCCCATTTCAGCACCAAGAGAAACTCCAACACCACATTCTTAAAATGATTGAAATGGATTTTTCACCGTTGTTAATTACAGACAAACTTTTTTTCCCTGTCAGTTACCTGATCTCGTCTCCGCTTTTTGCTCAGAAGTTTCTACACTAAGCTCACACTCATGAGCTCCTCCACAAACTCTTCTGGGTTCCTCTTTCCTGCCATGCAAAACTTGTTATTACCTGTTCCCTCCTGAACCACACGTGGTAAAAGACAAAAAATCCACCCGCCTGTTAAGGACAGATATTGTCTGCAGGGCTCCTGACCTGTCATTTGGCAGCTAGGAAGACTCAGACCTCCCAGTACCCTAGTACCATCCTGTACTGAGCTTCTTGTAAATGAGACCACAATGAATTTTGGTACATTTGAACTGTTACACTTGACCATTAATTTCTTGCTCTGCCTTTTTAATTTCACACTGTCCAGTTTAGATATTTACTACTTTTAAATCTTAACAAGAAATGGTATTAAAAGAAAAACAACTTGACAGATAGATGAGTTTTGAAGGTTTAAGATATTAACAGGAGGAGACTGAGCAAGGACTAGTAAAAATATTCATGAGAGGATTGGTTTAGCTTTGTATTTTTTGTTCCTTTCACAAATTTCCTTGGCTTTTCTTGTAACAATTCAATCTTCATGGAAACTACTTTAGATTATTTTTCAATGCTGAAAAAGCTACCAAGCATCCTGCTTTAGCTATTTTCTCCATCCCACCATGCAATTGACAATGAGCAATAGTAAATAAGACCACTGCACTGAAATATAAGTATATTGAGGCCAACAGGGAATAGACTTCAAGAGTATATAACACAATATCTGACCAAATTTCCCATAAGAAGTTTCATACACAAACACCCCCATTAAGATAAAGAATGTATTCACATGTAAATGCATCTTTACAAAACTTTTTTTATTATTATTTATTTAAATCATTTCAGAGATGAGTTTGCTACAGTTTCCCTGGACAAAAAAATGGTAATAACTTGGACAAAGCCAAATATTCTAAAAAAATGCAAGCTGAATTGCTCACTTACAGTTTAAAATGGCATTTAGCAGGATAGAAGTCCTTGCAGCCAGAATAGAAAGCTATTAAAAACATTAAGCCCTTAAAAACATGAGAAGTTTCATTAAAGAGGAAAATTATTTTGTTTGAGAACTGGGAGGAAGAGGCAATTCAGAAGTGTAACAAAATTTGCATGATTTTCTGCAAGAAGCACAAAACCATCCAAGCACAAGAAACACAAGACTGCAAAATAAAACCACAGCAAGACATGAAAGTGAAGTAACTGAACTTGTGCTAAAAACAAGATTAAAAAAAAGCAATGGGGACAGGAGAAAAATTACATTTGAAAGACAAATCATCACTCAAGTTCAATGTTCACCATGTTTTAAAACTGGTGAGAATTGTTCAATACTGTAATTGTTTCCATCCCCCCTCCAGAAGGACACTTGTGTTTTACACTGCTGTTCCCAGTTTCTTTTTCATTTAAATAGATACAACTAGATAATATTTACTTGGAACTACTGGAGGCAACTTTTAGAGTAACTGTGATTGAAGATAGGGAACCTATTACATGTTATGCACCTGACAGTTGTCCTTGCATTTGTGTTTTTTATTAATTGCATAGGACCCTCCCCAAACAAATTACTTCTCCCCAAAGAAGTTCTGGCTTTAAGCTTTCAGTTTGCTTCTTAAGAGGTAGAAATCATTTCTATGAAATAATACTTTTGGATTTTATTACTTGGAAACCTATCTTTAGGCATAGTTATGGCTCTTTTTCTGTCTTTTCATAGGTTTATGAAATAATAGCAGAGAAAATCCTCTAGTATGAGCTTTATGACTTGTCAGTTTTGGTTATCAGGTTTTTTTTCTTTAGAGAAAAGCATTGCAATCAACTTACCCTCTTTGCCTTTAAACCTTTCCTGATCATATCTGTTGTAGGCAGCTGGAATAGGTTGCTTATTTCGTAAAGTGGGATCCTAAAACAGGTTAAATAACATTTGTAAAACATACTAAAAGGTATTTGATGGTTTTTGAATTTCATGAAGAGTTACTTATAACTACTCAAGAGTATAAAACCAGTTAATTTTCATAGGAGTTTCAATGCATTTGAAAACTTCTGATGTTTCCATTCAATATCCACTTATAGTCTTACAGAAACAGAGTTTAGTACTGAATGCAAAGAGAATAACCTGAGGCAAAACTAAAATAACAAACAGTAACAAATTACTACTAAAGTCTCTACTGAGCTGTTGTTATACCTAAAGAATTAGCGAGGAAAAAAGCATAAACTGACAATTTATGATTAAGGCTTCAGCCACACAAAATTTCCCTTGTCAGTCTGATTAAGATAAAATTTTGTCAAATAAAATAAATAAAAACAAATTTTGAGGAGGAGATGCATTCTGGAAAAGAAGTTTTTTAAAAGCACCAATCTAGAGGCACACTCAATACCAATTCAATCCTTTATATGTATGGCTTAGTTATGTATTCACACCTATTCTGAGTGGGACATTTGAATAATGCCATGCATAATTTAAGAAATTCAACACAAATCAAATATTTACATATTGTAAATAGCAGTCATCTTGCTATTTAAATTTAATTCTTTGTTAAATGCAGTAGCAGCAAAAACAAAACACAGTATGATTAAACAGCTTTTAGAGCATACTATCACCATGTTCAAAGATTTATTAGGTTTAATAGAACACAATAGTAAACAACACAATTCTAAACAAATCCTGTCTAATACTTATATAGAAGTAAACAATGCAGCTCTAAGTCTGTCCTGGTTTATTACAGGCAAAAGAAAGCTGGTTCGAGCTGTTCCCACTCATGAGTCATGCTCCAGATTCTTAAACATTTGCTACCCTATCTGTCAGAAAAGCAGCAAAACATTTAATCTGAAATGGCAGTACTCTCATCGAATATATTTTTTGCAAATAGATGCAGCATGTGGCTAATGCTTGATAGATGCAGAAGCTGGCACTAGCAGTTTAATCTCTCAGTAAAAAGAGCATATTGAACTAATATAGTAAATCCTTTAAATATCAATAAATGCAACTTAAGTCAAAGAATTGCTGTGAAGTTATGCTTGAAAAATGTGCATTTTTCGGAAGTAAACCAAAACAAATTGTGTATGTAATACTGAGAAGATCTTGTACTCTCACTTCTGGTGTCCCAGCCTTCGTGTTTAGACAAACACTGATCTTACCGTTGGTGCTGTGTTTGGTGCAGGTCTTTGCTCAGGTGCTCGGCCTTCTTCTCTGGCTTTAACTGATTGAAGAATTGCAAAAATATTCTTGGCAAAGTTCTGAAAAATACATCAGGTACCTGTGAACCTTTCTGACCATCTGCATTTCACATAACAACCATCCAGGTAGAAGGCACCACTTGGTTAACTTACATTTCACTGAAAACCAAAACTGGTGCACTAATTTTCTAAATAGTTGATTTCTGACCCCTTTTCCATGACAGCATCCAAACATTAACGGGGCATTTAAGGCATCATTGCTATCCCCCTACTCTTTAAGGCCCACACCTGCTAAATCTAACTGGCTTCATTACACCACAAGGTAAACCAAACTCCCCTCAAAGCACTTGTGAACTATAAGCTATAGAGTTAAGTGTACACAATGTTTCTTACTAATGCAAATTTTCAGTAATGACTCATCAGTAAAAGAAACCTTTTATCAATTAGGGAAAACAATTTTTTTTTTCCTGATTCAGAACAATATAAAGTACTCACAAAATGCTAAAACTGTTCCAGAATATTGTATATTAACACTTAAGTGGTGTTAACGCCACTGGCATCATGAAACAAACACAAGAATTACAAAAAGATTTCTGGGATGAATTTTGTAGAAATCACTTAAAGAGTTGTACTGCAAAGCTTCCCTAAGCCTCCTCACTTGACCTCAGTGAACTTCTTGTCAAGCCACTGCAAGCCACCAAAGACAGGAATTGGAAGACCACCAGAAACCACTTATAAAGGCGAAGCCATCCCCTGAGCAAACCCAGTTCTTTTGACGCAGTCTGAAAGAATTCACACAAAACTGTATTTAAAGTTCTTTTCAGTCAAAAAATCTGGGGGAAAAGCCTTTCAAAAGCTGAAGCCATGCACATATCAGTTATATGAGGATACTCAAAATCTAAACTACAGGCATTTTTATTGACAATTCAGATTTCTCCCAAACTGTGGCCTGGGCATCATATCAATCACAATTCTTGCAATTGCTGTGCTTTATCACACTGTCTCTAGGAAACAAGGCTCATTTTCTGAAACTCGCAAGGAATAACTAATTAACAACAGGAGCAATATTTTAAGAGTGATTGTCCGTGCAGAAGCCAAATCTCCCAGTCACAAGGAAGTGACAACCAACATTCACATCTGTATTTTACTCATAAAACCTACAGTTAACATAGTTTTAAAGGGAGTTTGAACTTCAAATGATGAATTTTTCAAAGGCCTTTAAACATATGGGATTTTAATAACCTTAAATTGCACATCCTGGACAAAACTCATAAAAAAGCACAGAAGATTCCTTCTCCCATTTGCTGAAAACAAGCAACTAATAAGCATGTAATTAGAAGTGTTCTTGCTGATGTCTTTTTTCCACAGCATGAAAGTGTAAGTCCTCTAGGACCAAAACTAATGGCTGTTTGGAAGGGGAGAAACCAGCAGTGTTTTAACAAGCACTCAAACTAACATCATCTTCTTGCTGGTCACTGGCTTGGTCAGGATGAAATTATATTACTGTGACAGAAAAATGATTGAGCAGGAAGTTCACTGCATGTACCAGCTGATTTGTAAAGCCCTGCAGAGCTGAAGACTGCTAAGTTGTCATTGTTCATCCCTACAGAGAACAGAATATGAATATCCATTAGCTTCTACCCTAGATTTAGTTAAACTTAATAATCAAGTGCAACATTTTTACTACCAAAAACTTCTGATCTGGGGGGCAGAGAAGAAAAGATGAGGGAAAAAAAACCCCTGAACATCAAAATATTTGTCTCTCTGCACAGATGCTCTACCCCTTGCCAACACAGTGACTAGCACAGAACCAAATCAAATCATTATCACTAGTGGTAACTTAATGCCAGGATGCTTGTGGAGAAATCCCAGAGCCAATCAGATCAGACTGCTCTAATGAGGAAGGCTTAATGAAGCCACATCACTAACTGAATTTCTTTTGTAATAAAAATACTTCCATTGCAATATATCACAGTTTATTCTAAAAAACTGCAGTCTTTAATTCCTGTAGCTCACCATAACCCTAGTTCTCATTAACAAAGACTTCTAGTCTCTTCAGCAGCTTTATCATGCTAGCAAAAGTAAATATATAAATATTTTTCTAATAGTTATCATCAATCATAAACATTGGTTTCAGCTTCACTGAAAATAATTCTAGATGGAAGATAATTTGAAGAAAAGTATACTTCATCTCAATCATCTGACACAAATAAAACCTTAAATCTAACATGTAAAACTAGAAGTATATACCCAATATGGCTTACAGTGCTTCAAAAATTTCCTAAACCTAAGGTGTAATCAATTTTTAATCAAATTTACATGCTGGTGTTTCACTGCAGAGAAAGAGGAGCCTAAGAAAAAACATATAAAATTCAAAAAAACTCTTTATTTGAACTGACAGTAAGGACTTCTTGGACATGTGTTGCAGGAAAATCAAGAGCTGCAGAATGCTGTAAACATTGACCAGACTTAAAAGTAGGGCTGCAGAAGGAATAATTGAGCCCCACTACATTTCTTTACTACGCTGAGACATACTGCTAAATCCTTTACAGCCACTGGCAGACTGAAAGGCATGATGCTGTACCAAAAAGGCAATATTCCCATCACACATTTTCAGTAATTCCTATATATAAGAAAAATGAAAACAGCATTGAGATGGCCTCATAAAAGTACAGCAGAAATTAAAACACTGCTCATAAGAAACATGAAGTGATAAACTGTGTATTTAAAATAAAATATCTTGTACATCTAAAATCAAAGCACGTATTTAAATCTGGAATCCAAATCAAAAGTAAAAAAATTATTTACAGCATCACTCTCCTGTGCCTCAGAATATGTATCTTTAATTTGCAAACTGTTCACCAACTTTGAAGTTGATTTTCTCTCCTCCCTGTTCTTGTCATTCCCACCTACAGGAACTCACAGTACCCCTCAAACTGTTCTCTGCACACTTCTGAGCTAGACAGGCCATTCTGGGGCACACAACAAGCACACTAACACACAGGAGATTGTAGATTAACCACCTGAATAAATAGGTGTTTGTAATCCTGCTTTCAGGGTGATGGTAGTTTTAAGCAATTCACATTACACTACTGAAATTAATATTGCTAAATAACTGAAAGCAGAGCACATGATGACTTTGTCGAGCTTTAGATTAGGGAGCCTATAAAAAATGTTGATAAAATTGAACTTGTTACTAACTGTCAGAGGGGAAAAAATAAAAATCAGACACTCCTTTCACAAAAAAATTAATCTAGGGATTTCTTTGTGTTCCACTCAAAAAGTTAACTGTGTATTACTAAAGCTGAACTGAAAACAGAGCTGTGAGTATATCTGCTCCCTGTATAGTTGTACAGCTCCCTGTATATTTGTGGACTATGTTTTCAATAAAAAGGTGCAATTTTCACTTGTTCTGTGCTATCTTCACTAAATTTTTATAGCCAGACTATTATATGAAAGACAACTGAAACATTTTACTTGAAATGCTAATTCAGAAGTGTGAAAGAGCAGTAATACTGTAACAGCCTGAAGATACAGTATAGCATAAAATCTCAAAAATTCCAATCCCCTTGATACATAATCCTAGTTTATTCTTCCTATGAATGCAGCATATGGAAATACATATTTTTTTAATAGTTATGTTAGAGTAATGTTTAAGGAATTACTTAATAGCTGACCTAAATATTCTTTCAGGAAACATAATGCTTTATTCTACAGATTCCTTAGTTGAATTCAAGGCACATACAGACAAACAAGATTTATTATTGCTCAATATAAATACAGTTTTTAAAATCTGGCCCATCTTTCCTTTAAGTGCTACATTCAAAATGTTTGCCATAGTGCTTGGCAGCAATAAAAGAGTCTGTCTAGTTTTACTAAGAAAGCCAGTCTTGCAGAAGTTTGAGCACTCAAACTGTACCATGATATTTGTGCACAACCACTCCAAACCCACCCTCCTGTGCCACCTGAAGGATTAATAAGGACACCAGATGCTTGGCACACCTTTCCTTTTTCAATTTGCTACTAAAGTTGCTGTGAATTTCATGAACATGAGACAATTCTGCCATCTAGAGCCCACACAGAAAGATGCTTTTACTATCAATTTATTTTAAAATATCCAAAATTTTACTTTCGGACCTCTTAGTTGTCTAAAGTAATTAAAATACCATTAGTCTTTCTTCATAATAGTTTTTCCAGCTAAATTACTAAAACTTTTAACTTTTATATAGCTGTGGTATTAACCTCCTGACAGGTGACTTCCCTAGTAAGAATGGTCAAGAGTCATCAGAACAAAAATGAGAACTGAAAGTAACTGAAAACATGATTCAGATATGGTAGTTACTGTGAAAAGGATCAAACCTATAAAGAAAATACATGATTTTTAAAAAAAATATGTAAGTACTAACTGCAGTAGCAACATTTTGCAGGCAGTAACACAAAACAAAAAATCATGACACCACAAAGATCAGCTACACATGCAGAAAAAAACCAGTTCTGCTCTTTAATACTTGTGTACAAGAATACAGAAGACCACAAAAAAAACAACATTCTGGAATAGTTCAGATGCTGTCTTAGAAAAATTTGCCATTGTGGGTTACATCCAAGGTAAATGCTACATAGCAGGAAAATGTCAATCCCTTTAGCTAGGTAAACTATAAACTCCAATCATCCTATTCAGTTCTGGTCTTCTCTCACCATGCACACAAAAATACTGAGAAGCTGGGGGTAGCACAGTGGGGAAGTACAAATCAAGATTATGAAATTTAATACATAAAACTCACAGTCAAGAGCTATGAAATTAAAGAGAAGGCAAATAGCATCCTGGCCTGTATCAGGAATAGTGTGGCCAGCAGAAGCAGGAAGGTCATTCTTCCCCTGTACTCGGCACTGGTGAGGTTGAACTTTGAGCGCTGTGTCCTCACAGACCCTTGAGTTCTGGGCCCCTCAGTTTAGGAAGAACATTGAGACTCTTGAGCGCGTCCAGAGGAGGGCAACAAAGCTGGTGAGGGGCTTGGAACACAAGCCCTATGAGGAACAACTGAGGGAGCTGGGGCTGTTTAGTCTGGAGAAAAGGAGACTCAGAGGTGACCTTATCACTCTCTACAACTTCCTCAAAGGTGGTTGTAGGCAGTTGAAAATTGGTCTCTTTCTCCAGGCAGCAGCTGACAGAATGAAAGGACAGAGTCTTAAGCTGCACCAAGGAAAATATAGGTTGGATATTAGGAAAACGTTTTTTACAGAAAGGGTAAAAAGTATATAAAGTACTGTAATAGTCTGTCTGGGGAAGTGGTGGAGTTACCATCCTTGGGTGTGTTTAAAAAAAGACTGGATGTGGCACTTGGTGCCATGGATTAGTTGAGGTACTAGGGCATGGGTTGGACTCAATGATCCTGGAGATCTCTTCCAAACTAGTGACTCTGTAAATTGAAGCTTGAAGTCTATTCCCTTCAGTATTAACATCTTGTGTCATGGATAAGAATATATTGGACATCAAGTAACTTCTCCAAAGAAAAATACAGATAATTAGTACATTACAACAGGGCTGCAATAATTAAAGATATAAAAGCTGAAAAACTATGAAGACTTAAAAAACAAAGTTATTTATTTAATCAAATTACTTGTTTTACATAAATAAATAAATATAAAATATAAGGTTTCCATGCTTTCAAATCAAAACCTAAGAAAATGCGCTGGATAGCCCAGTCTAAGTATTTCACATAAGACCAGAGGATATATAAATATAAGCATTAAGGCAGGAAAATATTTTATTTGAATCAGGCTCAGTTCCTACCTTACTAGAAAGAAAAAAGAATATTTCATACTAAAAAACCTGTAATTTATAATATTTTCTTATTTTTTTGTATATATTAAGCAGGGGACTATAGTCAATAACTACACATACTGCAAGAGAATCAAATTCACCCGTCTGTAGCAGTGAAGCAACTGCAAGAAAAAAAACAGGCCATTGCTTCAACATTTTAACCTTGACCTTGTAAGTAATATACATTTAAAGGTTACACTTTCAAAAAGATACAATTTCATAATGTATAGGTTATGAAACTACAGAGACTCAGCTCCACCCAACTCTGATCTCATACATCTTAATAGTTTTTCCATCATAAAACTGCAGAAAGAGCCCGCACCCCATCATTCCTAGATTTTATACACACCTAACTCCATTAGAATACCTCAAATATATTAGTATACCTCCATTAGTATACCTCAAATGCTAATTTCTCCTGTCCAACTTACATGGTTCTAACTTCAGTGCTTTTCTCCCTGGACTGTCTCCAGGCAGGCAGTAATGTTAAGATGCCATATAGGTCACTCTAGACTCCCAGTGCCTGGCAACGTCTTCAAAAAGATTTACACAAGGCTCAGGGAGGAGAAAATATTTATGGATATGCTAAAAGCTGAGAAATGCACCAAAGCAGCAGTTGGGCCAGCTGCTCACAGATGTGCAAATGTGCCTGCCTGGACAATGCACCTACATCAGGAGTGTGTAGCTACTGTTCAGCTTCACAGCTGAACAGATTTAGAAAGGTTATGTGCTATAACCTATAAGACTTCCCACATCTTTGACTGGCTGGATTATGTTATTTCATTGTACACAGGGTTAGCATTCACTTGAGAAAAATCTAATATACATAATACGTATAATTATATACACAACATATAATTATTATATATTATGTATATATAGTATACATACATCATATATATAATTCCAATATACTTGTAACTGTGAGAAAAGATAACTGAAGAGTGCTGGCTGAAATTTAAAGTTTTGGCAATAATCAGTAGCATTTTCACATGAACTGGGTCTGGCTGAGGTAGAGTTAATTCCTAGCTGCCCTGGTAGTACAGCACTGTGTCTTGGTAGCCAGAAAGGTGTTGACAACAGTCCAGTGTTTTGACTGCTGCTGAGCAGTACTGGCCCAGCACCAAGGCTGTCTCCAGCACCTCCTCCTCACCAGTCAGCTGAGCAGGATTTTGAGAGGACAGACAGCCAGGACAGCTGACTCCAGGGATATTCCCCATCACATGACATCTGCTCAGCAGTAGAAACTAAGAGAGAGAAGGAGGAGAGGCATTTCTTGTTATAATATTTGTCTTACAAAGCAACTGCACCCAAGCCCTGCTCCCCAGGAAGTGGCTAGAGACTTCCTGCTGATGGGAAGTGGAGAATACATCTTTTGTCCTCCTTTGCTTCCCCACACATCCTTTGTTTTTATTAAACTGCCTTTATCTTAACCTACACATTTTTTCACATTTTTTTCCCAGCCATCTTGCTGAGGAGGGAAGCATCATGGTGGGCGCCAGTCTATCATCCATCCAACCAAGGTCAACCCACCACACCCTACAAAGACAAGAATGATAGAATTTTTTTTAAAAGAATATCTGAAATGCTCAGAGCTGCTCATATCAGAACACTGGTTCATTTCAAAAAGTTACAAATTCACAAGGCCAGTATTAGTGCATGTCCAAGATTCCAGCTTTAAGATTTCTCTACACACAAGTAGAGCATGTTCAACACAGCCCACCCAGTTACCTTGCTGTTTATCTAAGAAATAGTTCTGAGCAATCTGGGAGAGTAAAAATAAATAACAAAATATAAATCAAGTACACCAGCAGTCTCAGGCAAAAACAAACTCTCCAGTCACATCTGTGAATGTTGAAACTCCTGCTTAGTCTACTTTAACTTGTATCCACAGGAAAAATTCAAATGCCAAATACATTTACTGTAGAGATGAAATGAGGAGGTTTCTCCTTCAGAAAAGATTGTTGTTGCCTGCTACAGAAGATTACAGAAACAAAAGGATTTTTAGGAAAGAAAGCTAAAGGGGGATATGAAAGGAAATAATCAATTTCAGTATAAACACAGGGCTTTTTCTATGTGTTCAATGGTTTTACAAAACAGCCTCACATTTATCTAAGAACATGCACACAGCTGAAACCTGTGCTGAGCACTGATGCAAAATTTAACATTTCAAACACTTATGATAGTAAATAGTCTATGTATGAATTCAAAACTCCTCCTGAAATGAAATTCCTTTAAACAATATAATCTGTCAAAGAGTTCTAAAATTAAGTTACTATGAGAGAGAAAAAAAATAAACCACTTAACAAATGCAATTCGGCTCTGAAAAGTGATCACAAAAATGCCACATAATTCATAAAAATCTAGAAGACTACACTACAGACTTGGAGAAAGCCAACAAATATTTAAAACAGGCAAAGTAGGATGACTTATCTACTAGGAATTAACTCAAACACTGACTTTCCAAAAGAGGTAGAATTGCATGATAATCATACAGAAAACTATGAAAAATAACAAAAAGTTTTAAGCAAAACATAACAATAAGCAAGCAGATAAATGCAAATGTAGAAATCTTAAAACCAAAAGAGGACAGGTAACTGAAATGTCTAATTTTACAAGCAATAAGAACCTCACAGAAATCAGTGAAAAGACATCCAGGGATCAGTGCAACATATGATTAAAAGAGGGTAACAGAGAGGCCATACAGACAAAGGACCTGTGTGACGCATTACAGAAATCTTAAGAGCCAAATAAACTGGGAATGACACAGCTGCTGAAGCATTTTCTACAACAGGAGCATCAATGCACTCAAATTACACATTCTCATAAACCAAAATAAAAAAAACCCACCACAGCCAGGAAAAAAAAAATCTATCACTGTAATTTCAGCAAGGGGAGATTTGTGACAATGAAGATGTTGGCAATAAAAGCAGCAGGTAAAAGGACAGAATGCATGAGAACTTTTTAAAGTATTAAAAAAAGAACATTACATCAGTGGAGACTTAAAAAAATCCTGGACCAGTTCTATAAAGAAAACTTAAGAATTGGGAAGTGCGTCCAAAAGGAGAAACTAAATGCTTCAGAAATACAGTTAACATTATTGCCATCTATGAAGAATTTGGAGGAGCATATTGCTGTAAGAATCAATATTTTCTTCAAACATATGAAAACCAGAGGAAATCTGTCATTAAGCTGAAATGGTCAAGGGATTTTTTTTCTTTTGTACTGTGACCTGATCTTCCTCGTGTTTCCTTTTTGCATCTTAAGCTATTTCTGCATCTCAGTTTACTACAGAGAACAACGGGAAAACTTACACATACAAGATGGGTTCTCTGTGGAAAAGAGCTTGAGAAGCAGCCTTGGACTGAAGCGATTTTTGCAAAGGAACAACAAACTTTAGATTTAGTAGTTCTCACTGTTTGTTACCATTTACCCAGGAGTTCCAAATGAATTCAGATATTAAAAAGGTATGCGCTGCTAAAGTCAATTTTTGTTTTAAATACTCTAGGAGGATTCAAAAGACTGAAGATAAACTCATAACAAGCAGATAGCAAAAACTTACAATAAAAATAATTATCAGGCACATCAGCAATTCAAGTACCATACAGATGAGTCAAAACAGCATTTGCAGAGCAGTATCATGCTTCCCTGATCAAAATTCTTAAAAGGAGCAGGGGAGAAAAGGAAGAAATTATTTGCCTGAGACAACATATCTTTTCTTCACAACTTTCAATAAGGTCTTCACAAAGGTTCAAGAAAAAAAAAAAAAAAAAAAAAAAAAAAAAAAAAAAAAAAAAAAAAAAAAAAAAAAAATACAAAAAAAAAAAAAAAAAACAAAAAAACACCCCACCAAAAAAACCAAACACACCAAAAAGCCCTCCCAACCAATGTAAAACCTGAGCTGCTATGGGATAAATCACAGCCCTCAGTAACATGTGATGTTTCCCCATCTACTTACTCTCACTGCTACTTGGAAAATATAAACATTAACACTCAGGTGATTTGTGTCCAAGCTATCAAGAATGTTCCTGCAATCCTGCATAAACCGAAATAGAAGATTTGCTGTTATGCCCATATACTCATCAGGCTGCTCAGAGTAACTGCATGCTAGAGTCCACGAACAAACTTCATCTCTTGTTTCTTGTCTTTCTCCCTGTGTCATATTTTGCTTAAAATCACTACCTCATCTCATTTACTACAGAGATACTACAACAAAAACATTCATCTCTTCCCTACTATCTTTGCGATTTCACTTGGAAGAAAAGTAGACAGGAATGCCATAAATGATTCACAAAAGGAAGAAAAGCTATGCAGATTCCTTCATTACAAACCTTTCCAATGACTAAAACATCAAAGCTTTTACCAATTTATCAGCTCCTCAGCAGTGAGGCTGCTACAAATCTCTCAGATTCAAAGAAGCAACACTCACTCTGTAGATAGCACACAGGGATGTGCCACATACCCAGTAATTACCCCCTAATTCATTAATTAAATTATTCTACCACTAATGCCCTGGGACAATACTGGGAAGCTGAGAGCAATGTAAAATACTGTTAAAAATAAGACAAATGAAGACTGAGAGCTCATTTACTTCTAAATGTTGTTTTCCTGTGACGATACTTAAAAGAAGTAGTGAAGGCAAAGGATGCAGTTTGACAATAACCTCAGGAAAACAGACCCTTGAAATCTTTTAGGAATTAACTTACTTCTTCCTTGAGAAATTTAGTGCCAAGTAGTTCTGCAATAAAGAAAGCCTTTCTGTCCAAAGAGAGCAAGCTGTCAGCTGTGCTTGCAGCCATGTTCAGAATAGTACATAACCAAGCGCAGCCAAAAGTAGCATTGTAAATGGACAAAAACCTCTTCATAGTAACACTTTCTGGTTTTGTTCATTCCAGTATTTTTCCTCCTTACTTCTTTGGTGTTTTCCACAATGTAGAGACCTTTGGGCTTTCAATGTACATGTGCTGCTCATTCTATCAGTTACTCTCCACTTTGGTCTGTTTCCAATCCACCAGTACTTTCATGGAGCCCTCCCCACTGCAGAGCTCAAGCCAGCTTTGGTTAATAGCAATTAAGTGATTACTTAGTATCTTTTAATGGCTGAAGCAAGTAACTGGAGATACAATTTAGATTTACTGCAATGTGATAAGGACAAAGTCTTCTGTCACTGTGGCAACTGCCCTGCAAGTCCACCTTCACATGGAACACAGAGTATAATACGCCTGTCATCTCTGATTAACAAATTAGATACAGAAAATAAAAATGCAGTTTGTCATAAGGATCATAAAATCCAGCTTCATATCCAGAGCATTACCTTGCCTGTGCTTTGTAAGATTGTAGTTCTTGTCCTCCATACTCTTTCCCTGCTGACAATATCTCTAGTTACATCCACTTCAGCATCAACAAAACTTCTTTGTTTAAGAGCAGTTATGTCATCATCCAGATCAGTTTTGATAGTGGATCTTTTCTTTGCCATGATTTTGGCTTTGATAGCAGCAATTTTTTCCACTGACATAGCTTCAGACAAGGACCTAAATGAGCAAAAGTAACAGTAGAGACTGAATAATTGCTCAAACAATTCTGAAGAATGAGTAACTTCAACCTGCCAAAGTTTAAGGCTATGCTATATACCACAAAATAGTCACCTCATATAGACACTGAAATATTATATGGGCTTGGCATGGCTGTTTTGGGCATGCAAATCCAGTTTGTGATAGGACTCATTAACACAAATAACATCCAAAAATCCCAACTATACCAAATAAAAATAAAGAATCCAAATGTAAAGTGTCAGGACCAACACCTTTGTTTTATAACAACATTCAAATGTCAGTTCCCTGTTATTTTTAGTGGATTACAATTTTGTGTCCAGTCAACCAAACCCTGGCTGCTCTGAGCCTTTCAAAGCACTACTCTAAATCTTGGCTGAGGTGCAGTTATGTGGACTTGGTCCCTTGGAAGATGTGGTACCTTCTTAGACCATGCAGGCCAGCAAACAACAGATGGTGGTGATCTTGTCCACAATAATCTGGGTTTGAGAGAGCTCAGAGTCCAAGAGAGCAACACCTACGTGTGTTTGCTTTTAATTGTAAACACAGAATTGGGCTGTCAGTGAGCCCTACTGTTTTGCAGGTGAGCTGAAGAAAAAAGATAAAGACTGACTTGCACAATTCTAACTGTCTATACCAAATTCACTGTTACATGGGGTTGTTTTTTCTTTGAGAATACATGAAAAGATAATGCAAGTACTGGTTGTGAAGCATTCTTCTTTATAACTATGTTATTGGAAAGGGAACTTCCTTGTGTTGCTACTTGTTTCACAGCAGGGTCAAGCATGGAGTTGAAACTCACCACCTGTAAATATTTGTATCTTTTTAAAGGGGCAGTCTTTTACATTCAGCAATAGAAGAATTGGTAACTAGAGAACACAAACTAATTCAAACAACACCTAGTAATCCTCACTGTAGCACTGCAAAGTTATGATACACTCAAGGTATCCAAATTACTAGTTTGTACAAAATCACATGTATTTTCTGATTTTTTTTATTCTTATGCTTTCTAATCATGCTACAATCAGATTTTTTTTCCCTACAGTTTCCTTTTAAGTACACCTATATAAGAGATAGGAAGAAGTTGTTCAAAATACATATTTTTCATGTGGTTAGCTATAATTATGGATTTCATAAATGCCTGAAATCTGCACTGTCATAACTGTTCCAAGGTCTGGCTCCTTCAACATTACTGAAAGTATCAAAGAGAGGAAAATTTTCACTGAGAGCTGCTGGACAGAAGTAAAACTGGCTGCTTTTAACAGCACAAGAATGTTCTCCATCCTGTAATTAAGCATTAGGCATAAGGAAAAGTAATCCCACCTGATCTGCTCTGTTTGCACGATGCCCTCTTTATGTCCTTCCAGCCGAGCTGCCAAGCGCTCCTTGTCAAGGCGCACACACTCCTCATCCTGGAAGGAACAGTCATGTTTAAGTCCTTGTGCATTCTCTTTTCAAATATAAATACAGCTAGAAGTAAAACTCATCAGAAGTATTTTCTTCACATTTGCAAGGACAATCTTTATTTCCAATTATTTTTAATCTAGGCACTAACATTAAGCACAGAGCTATTGTAAGTTTCCTCTCAAGAACCACAGTTCTTCAAGTCTAATGTCTAACCCCTTCCAGTTCCCATTCACATGAACAGAAGCACTCTGTACACCAAAGGACAGCTAATCCAATGGAATTCCTACAAAAACATATAAACACCGTAATTTACCTCCACCTTCAATTTGTATTGATGACAGTCACTGTCATTACCTCTATTCTTGGTTTCTTTGCTTCTGCTAATATTTCATCTGCTGCTCTTTTAACTGCAAGAAAAAGAGGACATTAAAAATGCAAGACTGTAGTAGATTTTTATAAAATCAACCTCAAAGTTATTTTTTAGTTAAATCATACCTTGAGTGGATCGTTGAAGACCAATTTCAAGTGGAGCACTTCTGTCTATGCTTGATGAGGTTGCTGCACTCAAACAGAACATTCAGTTTAAATAGAAAACATCTGCAATAATATTTGGGTATAAAAGAAAGAAGGGCAGCGTGAACTGCAACAATGGAAATTCTATGTAGTAGGTAGCAAAGGTGGTCAAACAGTAGAGGAGTGGAGATACTCAGAACTTTACTGAATGTAAAGCTCAATCATGTTGCTCAGGGTCATTTGGCCCTTCTTTGAAAACGGGATTGAACCAGGTGACCTCTTCTGGTCCATTCCAACATAAATTAATCAATGATTGTATGATCTCTATATACAACTCATAAAAGAAAACAGAGTCACAATGAGAATTAGAATCTAGAATCAAGATCTACTGGGTCTAGAATTTTTTTTAAAAACGACAACCTGCTGATCTGTTTAAAATATATATATAAAGTGATTTTACTCATCATATTACAGAATAATCTCATACTCCAAGATACTTCAAATTTGAAGACCACCTATGAAACAGAGCATCTTACAGAGGTGATATACCTGTTTTTCTCAGAAAAAACTCTTTTATCTAACTATTGTTAACAAAAAAATTAAGATGAAATGCTAGGCAAATCTGCCAGGCTGACAGAGCAGTGATTTATTGTATTTTATTAAACTGAAGATTGCATCCCACGTATTTCTTGCATTCAAGATCAATGTACTACTAAAAGCTTCTCATAGTCCAGAGAAGGAAAAAACATACATGCTAAGCATTCTAACACATAATTATTAACCAAAGTAGATTAATAGTAACAACAATAATAATGTTCACCTTTAAACATGCATGTAGGAATGCTGCTCCTATCTAAGTAAAACAGTTAATTTAAGAATACAATGAAAAACGCAAGAAATAATAACTTTGTTTGAGAAGTTTCAGCACATTCAGTAAAGATGCAAACTGCCTATTCTTACCCAATCTACCCCTCACTTGTGCCCAAAATATGAAGCAGTAAAGAGTACTGTGTGTCCAAGTCAAAAGAACGCATCACTCACATGTTTCCCCATTTAGGTATGCAAGCAAATCTTTCCTATCAGGTCTTCTTACCACAGGAATGTTTTCAGTCTGAAAAGACAGCAGATGTGACATTAAACCGTTCTTCACCCACAGAGACTCTTGTTAAAGATTTTTCACTTTTACTGAAAACTACTCATTCACACAAAAAAAATGACCACATGTCCTACCACCCAAAGAAGCTTAACTATCAAGCCTCAAGTGCAACCACATCCTAGAGGATGTTCTGCTACACAAAATTAAACATACAGCCTGCTAAGAAACTGAAAGAGAGGGCAGCCATTTTCCTCCTTCCCTTGAAACTTGCAAATAAGATTAAGAACTAGTTTTTATCACACACACACACACTTCTCTGCCAGGAGGACTGTGTTGCTATATAGAACTCATGTATCTCAATGGTGTTGTCCCAACACAGCACTGCTGTCTCAGGTACCAAAAAAGCACAAGGAAAGATAAAGAGTGGCCTCATAGAAAGCAGTCAAATGAAAATCAAAAGGACTTTTAAAGAATTTCTGTACCTTTACTGATAGGGCTTAACCAGCAATTTTTTTTAATTGTATTGCTTACTTCCAAGTCCACTCCAAAGCTGTTTGCTTTTCTCCATTCTGTAGATCCCTGCTATCTAAGGCACTAAAGGATCATCTAGATTGGGATCGCTCCACACAACAGATGGACAAAAGCACTCCTGAAATAGTTCAGTGCTTGAAACTAGTGTGTCCGTAGAATATCAAGATAAATGCTGCCATTGCTATTAATAATCGGTTGACAAACTCTTGCTGTAAACACAATTTGGTGGTTTGAAGGGATAATCTGTTAGGAAGTGAACTGTCAAGAAAAATACTCCACCGTGACAGGACCTGTCATGTGAGCCTTCTGCAGAGGTGATTGTTTTTAAAAAATTGCATATTGTTATAGATACATATTATATTATAGGCTTTTCACAAATAATAAAATGAATGTTATATGTATAAGGTTAGAAAACTTTGTTGTATTAATATAGTCCCTTCTATTTCCATAAGTTATTGATGAAACTTAAAAATAGTGGTATAATACATGTATGTTAGACTGCAGCATAGTATTAAAGCAAAAACTATTTTCTTTTATATAACCCAGAGACTGAAAAAGATAGTCAGAATCCCCACTCCCCCCCCCACCACCGCATTTTTAGATTATCTTATCCAGATGAGGACAGCAGTGACCAGACCTCCAAGGGAAGAATTTATTGACCCTCTGTTATCAGGGAGTGTGAAACTCAGCAGAGCCAAGAAGATTGATCTACTGGGGAAGGGGCAAGTTAAAACTAAACAAAAGAACATCTAAAACTTAAGAGGAATGTTTGAATCATGTATGAGAATTTATGAATATGTAATAGGGTTCTGTTTTTAAAGGACAATCCTTTGTTAGTAAAATGTGCTCTCCTAGCTGAATGCTGAGGCACCCGGCCGTACTTGTATACTTCATTTCTATCACCTAATTGTCTTTATATTAAACTTTTTAAATTTTATATAACATATATGTGAACCTCATTTTTCACAGTATCATCTTTGCTTTCTCCAGCCAAATTCATACACACAAGTGCTATTATCATTCACTGAAAATAACTACACACATGTTCATGATCACAAGACAAAAATCACATTTTGTATGGTCTACTTACTGCAGCACGACGGACATACACAGGATGGGAAAGGTGCACATTATTCAGCAGGAACAAGATAGAATCCAAAGTGTAGTATTCCCTGGGCTGGCCCTCTTTCCCTGTCCTGTAACACAGGAAAACATTGTGACATTTAACTTCTCCATCTCTGTCTCAAACACATCCTCTTTTAAAAAGGTCTCTTTTCTTTCCAGATGACAGTTTAAAAAGCAAGCAGTTAATATTATTATCAGGCTATTACCAAACTAATGAGCTCTCAATTGTGCTAAAAAACACAGGGGAGGGAGATGAGTTCTTGCAGCCTCTTTACTGAATGAATTATTAAAAAAACCCTTCCCACAATACTCCAAAATAAGAGCTGGATACGTTGTTAAATAAAGAAACAAGACCAGGGAAATTGTAAGTACACATTCCCCCTCATTCACACTATTTATTCTGATTATCAAAGGAACTGTCTATACTATGTGAGAGAGACAGAACTGAACTGCAAACAAAAATAAAGTATTGCATCATCTTCAGGTACAATAGGCCAGAATTGGAAGCACTAGAGAAAGCACAGTGAGAACTTAATACGTAAATTCCACAAAGTCTAGGGAGCAAAGGGTTCAAAATGGTGCCAAAAGATCAAAATAAGTAGTAACTACAAACTAATTGCACACAAAACCATCAAAACCCTGAAGGATACAAAATCACAGTGAACTCCCATACTGAAGTCAGACTACATCAGAGCAAGACTACAGCATCAAGTTCAATCTCAGCTTCCAAAGAGCTTGTTTCAAAGATACAGCTTTTAAGTGTAAACCCTGTCTCAACTTGGCTCCATGTACATTGAACATAATTTCCCCCTCTCACACACTCACACATTATGCTGTTACTACAAGATTTTGTAGGGGAAGCAATACCTGTCCTTCTTTCAATGAACCCAGCTCCCTAAACACTTCAGCTGCTCTGAGGAACAGACCTGGCAGTCAGGAAAGCAGCAATAATAGCAATTCCATTACCCACCCCCACTTTGGGACCCGTCAAACCCCAGCTGCAGGCAGGACAGGGCTCCTCCACGTTGCCCAGTCCCTGTGCCCAACCAGATGGCTCACCTTAAAGCCTGAGAAAGAGAAGTCACTACAGAACCAGCCCAAAGCTATAAATTTAAGACTGGTAGAGAATTGTCAACAAACAAGATATTTCAGGAAGAAACGGTTTCATTAGAAGAGTTTTCCCTTTAAGTACAGTGGCCTCACTCATCAGCACCAAAACACACACCACAGAAGTGCCAACCTCACTGGGGGAAGGGAGAAGAAATAAAAAATACTCAGTCACAGCTTTATGGAGCCTGAAAGAGCTACACAAAAATCTACGAAACCAACAGAAACATGTCTATTTTCTCAGTACCGTAGATTTAATGCCACCTACTGCTTTGCTTGTCATTACTCTTCTGGAATTACCTAAGAGTGCCCAATAACCTGTTTAGAACTTATTATTAGCAGTACAGTTCAAAACCTCACTTTCATAATGATGCCTGAGAAAACCAATGTAAGAATAACATGCAAGGGATTCAGGATACCAGAACTGTATAATGAAGGGAATAAAGGGTCTCTCCTACCACTGTCCCTTCTTTCCAAAAACTTGGTCTGCATGAGGTGGAGGCTGCCTGTACATTTTGTTGCTGCAGAGAAAATGGAATAGACACAGGATCTTTCTTTCAACTGCTTAGAAGCCAAAACTTGGCTTCACAACTACAGGCAACCACCAGAACTGGATACCTCAGCAAGGAATTGTTTGAACAAGTAGCAAAGCAGTAACGATCTTTGATAAGGTGGTATCTAAATATACTGGAAGCACTAGCAGAAAAAAAAGCTTCCTCCACACAGGCTTGGCTCCGAAGCAAAGCCATGATTTCATGTGATACCATTGTCACTTCATTTTGAAACAAACACTTTAGATTGTCTTAGTTCAGAATAACTCATTATTTAAGTGTGTCATATGCACTGAGCATGATATAAAAGTCCAGCTGGTCATCTACTCAAGCTTTAACAATATTTAGCAATAAATGACAAAATATAAAAGCAAAAAAATACTGAACCATCATCTATTAATTGAAAAAATACAATATTACAAAGCCACAGGCATTGCCAAAACTCAGCAGGACACAGCTGGTACTTCATCACTTCACACACACAAGAATTCCCTGTGCTCCTTATGGGTCTAAGAGAATGTTTTATCAGGACAAGATATTGCACATTAATTGGAAATCATCAGATAACAAGCAGTTAGGAGACAACCTAAGCTTAAACTGACATTTCAACATCAGCGTGTGCTCCTGCTAAACAGAGAACTAAAACCAGGCAGATCTGAGGGTATCTTGCCTCATTCAATTTACAAACATCCAAGGTAGAAACAGAAATTAATTCTATTATTTCCCAAATTCACTTATGGCATCAATTACTTAAAAAAATTAAAATCTGGGGAGGCAGACCTCAAGAAACCCAGTGAAAATCATTAAAGCAAAAACAGAAGGAAGAGTTGCACCTCTTACAAAATAAACTTATATAAATGGAGAAAATGTTTATATAATAGGAGAGAGCAAGTTTCATCTGCTCATTTTTAACACCAGCAACTTACTTCTTTCTCATTCATTCACCTTCCACCTGTGGGCATCAGGAATTTATTCATTTTTAACAGCTTTATTTCCTCTTTCCTGTTTCAATGCCTGAAGTTTTACAGAGGTACTAAGGACCTGCGTCACATCCACAAAACAAAGCAGAAATCTTTAAACACACAAGAAAAAGCACACTGAGTATCACACAACTGACAATACCCAGGCCCAGCTGCTCACTGTTTAAAAACACAGGTGCATATCCAAGCCCCTTGACTAGGCAAAAAAAGCAATACATTTCTCTGGTAGACTGAATCTTTCCTTTGGTTTTGAAACAGATTCATTAATCACTCTTCAGGGCCCATAGGTTAAAATATACAAACCACTTCATCTCAGACCACCTAGCTTTTTTCACATGCCAGCAGGAGCATTCCTATAATTATTACCTAGAAACTAAACTGGATTAAAGTTGCTTTTTCCCCCATTTTTTTTTTTCTTTCCCTCCAAGTTACCTTTAATTTGGCTTGATTCCTCAAACCAGTTCCCTCTTTGGGTGACACTTGTGCTAGCAGAGAGAGAAGGCAATGCAGGGCAGCATTGCTGACTTCTGCAGGTTAAGCTGCTCGAAGAGCCAGAGCTAAGTGTCTCATGGGACTACTTCTAATTCTAGCAGGGACAAATGCCACTGCTGCTCTTCAGCCTAGCATTACACTCCTCAGACTGGAGATGCAATTACAGCAACCATGCTGTGGACACCCAAAACAAAACTCAAGGCTTGTTCTGTGCAAGACTAAGCCACCAACATCTGCTCAGTGCAAGCATAATTTGGACCCTTTCAAGTGACCTGAATATAAAAGGATTTGAACTTTTATTAAAGTTTTTGAAAATGTCCCTCCTGAGTGTGGCAATTACCTAAATTAGCAGCTCCTAAAGTATAATGCTCAAGCTACTGAGCATGGTTTGCAGAACTGGTCTCATTTTTACAGTGTCTTCAATTTAAAGCTGACATGCAAAATGTCACAGTGGTTGACAAGAAATGCTATGAACTTAGAGTAGTCTGTTCCTATCAAAAGTTCAGGAGCCACTGGTCCAAACCAAGATTAACTAACTCACCCCAAACAAACCAAAAAACAAAACCCCTCAAATTTCACCACACATCTACCCCAGGAGGTGAGCGCTCACAGCTCTGACAAGAAGCTGTTGCTGTTGTGCTCAGAGAATCCTCTGTTCACCCACACATCTTTCTTGACCAGGAAGATAAAGCTGCCTAGCCCTACATTGCAAAGGTTGCCCTCCAGCTGATTTTAGGCTTTTGGTAACAATTTCTGGGTCTAATCCAAGCTCTCCCAAGCAACAGAATAGGGCTGGCGTATCAGTTTCTTGTTCCCTGCAGAAGTGAAATGAAATTAGTTTGTCCACTTGTTACCACTTGGGGAAAGCAACTTTGGGGTAGCAAGGAAACCACCACAACTGTTTATACCTTCCCAGCAAAAATACAGCCAAGACTTTCAACTACTTATCCATATATTTTTCTTCCTCTTCTGAGTGCATACTAGTATCCTCCACTCAGCCAGGAAGCACAAATAACTCCAAAATCAGTTTCTGAAAGCTTGAACATGTTAATGAAAAAGCACATTTCTAGTAAAACATAAGATATAAAGTAAAATCAGCTGCAAAAAGTCCACCTACAACTGAAGATAAGCAAATATACTTTTTTCCTTTCTCTCTCTCCATCTAGTTAGTTATAGTTAGTAACAGTCATATCATAATTATGAGAACAAAAAATAGTTTCTGGTCAGACTCAACTACAAGTTTGGGTTTTTTTGAGAAATCTGCAGGTACTTCTACTTTTCCACAAAGGTTCAGAGGATAACACGTCCTCTTTGATCAGTGCCTGAGCTTTAACAAGAAGCATTTTTCCCTCTCAAGTTTGAAAAAGACTCATTGGAACCCTTCTAGTGAGGACATTAGGAAGCAAGCGGCTACTAAATTCTGGGGAAAGGCAAACGAAAAACTACTTTGCAATGCAAAATATATTAGAGAATTCAACAGGTAAAACCCCTCATTTTCTAGAAGTTTTCTAAAACCAAGCATTTTATCTAACACAATCATTTAACCAACATTAGTTGGTCATTTAACCATTTAATCATGGTTAAATGACCAACTAGGAAACAGCCTGCACTAGGTCCTGCACAGGAAAAGGCCTCAGGTGGGGGCAGAGCACCTGCACAGCTCATCAGAGGGAGCGCCGGTCTGGACCTCGCTGGCATTGTCCTGGTGCATCAAAGCTCCAGGAGACGAGAAGCAGCCGTGACAAGCCAAGACAGCAGAATCATACACTACGCTGAGTGGGAAGGGATCTATCAGGATCACCAACTGCAACTCCTAACCCTGCGAGGAATACTCCAAGAATCCCACCATGCGCCTGAGAGCGTTCTCCAAACAACAACATAATGGCTCTTTTTCACCAAACACCCGTAAAAATTTGGGAGAAGCTGCTTCCTGACACCTCATCGCATAAATCTGCAGGAAGCGGCCCCGCTGGGCGGCACGGACAGGAGCGCCGAGAGACAAGGAACGGCCCGGCCCGGGCTCTCCTGGCCCAGGACAGGACTTGGGAACGTTCCCGAAGAGAGCGGCGAGCGCTCCCTGCCCGGCCGTGCTGCCAGTGGACAGCAATCGCCCACGGGACACCCGCGCAGGGTGCCGGGGCCCCGAGGCCCTGCAGGAGGCGGCACCAGTCTGTCCAACCTCGTCCGCCTCGCTACCTGCAGGGCACCGGGTGGGCCAAAGACGGCAGGACCCCGTCCCCGCTCCCCGGGCGCAAGTTCGGGACAACTTCTCCCCCAACCCGCCCATGCCCGGGCCGTGTCGCTCACCCCCAGATGACATAGTTGGTCTTGACGTTCTTCGGCCAGGAGAACTCTCCGAA